AACTGCAGCAAGAACTCCCACTGTACAAATACCGAGGGATCTTACAACTGCTCTTGTAATCCTGGATTCAGCGGGGATATAGACAATTGCACAGGTAATGACCATTGTTCAGAGCATGATGCATAATCCTAGCTAACCTATGGTAGGAATTCGCGTTTTAAAATCCTAATTCTATGGTACTTCGAGTATCAGATTTCAGATATTAAGCCTTTCTTCTTGCAGATCTGGATTAACATGAGGCAGAGTCAGTTTTCCTTTGCATATTAGCAATACCCCTCCCCCACCCATCTCCTTCTTTTGAAGATAACAATTATGGTTATAGTCCGTCGATTTATTTCAGACATCGACGAGTGTGTTAAAAAAACCCACAACTGCAGCAAGAACGCAAACTGTGCAAACACCGAGGGATCCTACAACTGCTCTTGTAATCCTGGATACGGCGGAGATGGACATAAATGCCAAGGTATAATCCAGCAGAGCATGACATGACATAATATAAGATAAGTACATTTTATGTCTTCTTCTTTGGCGTAAAAATAAGTTTGAGCCACCCCCCATTGGTAAGGTAAAGTCTGTTTACGAGCCAAATGGCCCATCAAACCTGCAATTAACTCCGATTTCTGTAGCATGAAGCGACCATGAGTACTACTACTACCCCATGGATAGGATGCAGGGTTACCTCGTAGGGTTACCCCCCAGCATTGAATTCGCCGGTACCCTTTTAAACACCTGGGTGAAGAAAGGCACCATGAGAGTCAGAGTCGAGCACACCTACCATGAGGCCACTACACCTCTCACACTGGAAGTGAGGTTAAAAGTCTCTTTTCCTTACATTGCCTTGTGTTTGATTGTTTGTTTGTTTGTTTGTTTTTTTCCAATGGAAGCCCCAATACTGATACCCTCCTCTTTGTAATTCTTTAGTACTGTAATTGACAAGGACTGCTGATTTAATTTCAGACATTGACGAGTGTTCTCAAAACAGCCACAACTGCAGCAATCTAACTGCCACTTGTAATAATACAAAAGGATCTTTCAAGTGTATTTGTAAACCAGGATTCAGTGGTGACGGGTACAGCTGCACAGGTACTAAACAGTATTCAGAACATGATGCTGTTCGAATCAGCGCGAAAAAACCTTTAGAACTGGCCGGATTAAAGCACTATAAATGGTAGCATGATATGATTCGGAAGGTGATGCTCCGGTAGAATAATTGCTGAGTGGATCACTGAATGATTTTAATCAACGCAGAAAATCATAAAAACTCTGAAAATCCATGGACAGCTTTAAAAGGTTTTATTCAATCCTCGTGTGCTTTTGCGATAAAATTAATGATCAGGGACTCACCTCTCTGACTTGTCTGTTTGTGGAACTAAGATGAGCTTGAGCTGCAACTATGAAATTCTGAAAAGCAGAAATTTTCCCTCAGCTTTTATAGTGATATCCTCTCTCCTCTCAGTTTCCCATTGTTATAGTTTGTCACAATATTGAATATTAGTTGTTGGCTTCATTTTAGACATCGACGAGTGTGCCGAAAATATCCACAATTGTAGCAAGAGCAACGCCACTTGTACTAATAGCAAGGGATCGTTTAATTGCTCTTGTAATACTGGTTTCAGAGGGGATGGTTATAACTGCTCAGGTATTTCATATTATCTAGAACGCGATATTTTGCGTAAAAAAACGTTCGGATCTGCATCTGAGAATTACAATGTATCTTTTGAAACTTAAAAGCCTTAATCGCGATGTCTATCATTCGAAGTTGCGTTCAAAATGATTATCAATTTTCACTTTTACCATCAAAGTTTGCAATATATTCAAAGCATAATATGCTTAAGGTGGCTGAACATAGTTTTTGATACCTGTGTTTCTTTCACCATTTTCTCTAACTCCCTTGATCTCTCGGTCGCTAAAACTGGCAGCAAACAAGTTAACAACACAAACTTTGTTTTTTTGATAGTTAAGCTGACGTATGCACCTTTGTCATGGCGACAGGAATAAATATAAACAGGCCTTTAAAATGGAATTTTTTCATTTGGAGAAAATTTAGTCATTAGTTTGTCTTTATTATTTGCATGCAACGAGCTTGTAACGATACTCACAAGTTCACACCATTTTGCTAACAGTTTAACAGAGAGATCTTTAATCATCCCTTGTTGAAGGTTCACTCAATTATCTAGAATTTCCTTCGTTAAAAATCTATTTTTTTCGATACTACAGTTACATATTTCCTAAAGTATTTTTGGGCCAAATTTCGTGAAATTGCAATGAGTGCTTCTTAAGAAATAGACATATTTCCGAGAAAGCAATTTTCCATTCAATCGCTATTTTTTTAATTACTACGCATGCGTTGCATTTAACTGGATTTTCTCGCTAACGACGAAAAAGCTGAGGGTTCTTTGTCCCGTCAATTTTTCTAACATGTCTTTGTAATAAGAGAATAAAGCCCTCAATACACTGCGTCAACTATAAAAATAGCACAGATTGTGGGGATATGTGTTGAGTAAATAAAACGACCGCTCTATTGACGGCATGTTTCTTTTTTGCAATCCTTGCGCGCGCTCTGAGTTGCATCTGCAAAAGCGCGCGCGAAGACTGTGTTCAGCCACTTTAAAGTCTCCTTTCCTCTTTGCACCTCACCCCTCCTACCAGCGTTACAGCCGCGTTAAAATTATTATAATTATGGGCACGGCCTGTTGACTCTATTGAAGACATCGACGAGTGTTCCGAAAATATCCACAATTGTAGCAAGAACAACGCCACTTGTACCAACAGCAAGGGATCATTCAACTGTTCTTGTAATCCTGGTTTCAGAGGTAATGGATACAACTGCACAGGTATGTCACATTATTCAGAGCACGAGATTTTTCAGACATAAACTTGCCAACTCCCTGGCTAAAAAGCGAAATCCTTGACGAAGATTCGATATTGTGGTATCAAGGAAAAGAAGACAAGCTCTATTTTTTGTTTTTGTTTTGTTTTTTGTTTTTTTGTTTTTTAATTATCTTTAATTTTTTTGTATTGTTATTAGTATTGGTATTGTCACTATCATCATTATCATCATCATAATCATCATCATTGTTATTATAATCATTATCATTATTATTATTATTATTATTATTATTATTTGCTACATTTTAAAGACTTCAACTTACCAACCTCCCTGCATAAAAAGCAAAAAACTTGACGGAGATGTGATATTGTGGTATCAAGGAAAAGAGTGGGAACAAATTTTTTTTCCTTTTTTTTTATGTTTTTTTGTTTTTTGTTTTTCCCTCTTTCTATATTTTTATTACTATTGGTGTAATTATCATTATTACTATTATTATTATTATTATTATTATTATTATTGTTATTTCCGTTATTGTTATCATTAGCAACAGGACCATTATCATTTTTAACTATATAGTGAACCCTTAGTTTGCTTTAACTATATAGGAACGTTTAAAATTAATGCAAATTTATGGATTCTTGCGAGGCAGTATTTGAATTGTAACGGTTTCTTTTCTTCATTATCATTATCATAACTCTTATTATCATTCTTGTTATTATTATTATTATTACTATTATCATCATTATTATTATTCGTATATAAGAACGATCCTTCGCAGTAAAGCACTATTTGAGCAATAGTGGAGATCAGACCTGAAAAAAAAAAAATTTTTTTTTCAGGTCTGATCTCCACTATTGCTCAAATAGTGCTTTACTGCGAAGGATCGTTCTTATATACGTCTCATAACCGCAGTTCACTCATATGTTTCATATGTTTGTTGTTGTTCGATTATTATTATTATTGTTATTGTCATTGCTTTGTCATTTCTTTTGACAGTCTGATAATTCATTTCAGACATTAACGAGTGTGTTCAAAACCACAATTGTAGCAAGAACGCCAACTGCACAAATACCGAGGGATCTTACGACTGCTCTTGTAATCCTGGATTTAGCGGGGATGGACATGGATGCGAAGGTAAAATCCTGCACAACGCGATCTCATGAAACACATACAGTCCATCGGTATTCCTTACTCCTTAAGAATACCACAGACTGTTATATTGCTTTCCGATTGCACAATCATGTACTGAGTTCCTGAGAAGCTGTGGCTTAAGAAAACTACAATTTATGGCTTTGTCAGAAAGAGTTTGAGCCCAGCCTCCGTTGCATTATATTTGAGAGTGATGTTAGATTTCTTCTCTTAAGAGCAACCAGTGTGGTTTTCAGATTGGAAGCCCAGTTTTCAGCCCCTTCTAATTGTTATTCTTTATCAGCATAATTGATATGGACTGCAGATTAATTTCAGACATTGACGAGTGTTTTCAAAACAGCCACAACTGCACCAATACAACTGCCACTTGTAACAATACAAAGGGATTATTTAAGTGCATTTGTAAAAAAGGATTCAGTGCTGACGGACACAAATGCACAGGTACTAAATAGTATTTAGAACATGATGCTTTGTCATATCAGCGCAAAAAACCTATAGAGCTGGTCCTGACAAGGCTACCTTAAAGTGCCCCTGAGATCAAAATATTCGTACATAGTTTTTTTCATTTTCGTGTTTAGTGTGTCTCGTTCACCTGCTCTGCTAAATTTCAGTCTAGACCGAGCACCATAATTATCTTTTTTCGGGCCGTTAAACTAACGATTTCGCGTCCGCCATTATTTGACCATATTCAGGAAATTGATCGCAGGACTCAGAGGAAGTGACGTCAAAGGCTCAACGCCAAAATCTAACATGGCAAAATGTCAGGTAAACATAACAGAATGCTTTACTCTATTCTTACAAAAACTAGACAAAAATGACCACGCATCGCTGCGTAATTCAAAGCTGAAGTAATCGTGCAGACCATGCTATAGGTATTTCTCAGTGTCGGAGCCTTGGAAATAGATCAGAGCGGGAAAAACGTTTGCGACTTGTACGAACTCGCTGAGTAAGCTACAATCCTGCAGGATTATTTGTGATCTACTCCGAACACTTCTCGGAGGACTGTTTCGAGAGATCTGTGTACCTTGAAGGATCTAGGCGAAGAATTCTGTCGGGTTCAGTGCCTACCGTTGAAAAGAAGGGAAGAGAAAAACCGTCCTCTGTGCGATCTCGACGAAAGCGAAGTCTACGAACCTCGACGGGTTTTGTCATCTTTACATATGCGCTGATAAATATCCACCTTTAACAACTCTCTGGCAGAACACCTTACACAAAGGAAAGTACTCGGTGAACATTGTGAATACGAATGATAAAATAGCCGAATTGAGGAATTAGATTTCTGACCTCAAGGGGCTTACTTTCACAAAAGATATGAAAAATATAACTGTGCGCTCTGACTCTGAACAAAAGCTAGCTTTAATATCAGCGAAAGTAGAACAAACAGCTGAAGACACATAGAGTGTAGAAACGCTTTAAAATGTAGGCTTGCAGCAAAAAAACTGAGAAAATGAAAATTTCTTTAAAATCCTCTCAAACTATCAACCCTCTGACAGCCAAGTCAGCGTGCTATCAAAGGGTCCTAAATTCATCCCAACACCCGTGACAAATGAATGTGAAATCAGGCCAAGTTTTGCCAGATTTATTCGCAAGACCAAAGCGCCTCCGTTACACCTTTCACGGACAAAACAAAGAACCACTACCGTTTCATAGCAAACTGAATGCAACCGGTTCAGTCTTCTCCCGCCCTTCAGAGCTACTTGCAAAATTGTCATAATTAAACCTCACCAAAGCAACACAACACAGTCATCATGAATAAGACAGAAAAAAACATAAGGCCAAAGTGCAACTTAACAACAGAGTTCACTTCAAACCTCTCAAGGCACCGATAGTAAAAAACACGCTGGAAAGGGTCAATGAGATCATTGTCCAAATGCATCGGGCAAACACATCAATGGCTACAAATGGCTTTCACAAAACCCCCAATATCCGCCTTGATACACAATCAGCCACTGCCGAAAACAATTTTTATATATCTCTCGATCATTTCTAACAAAAAAGGAAAATCCCTCACAACAAGAAAAAATACAATTCGAAGGCGATAAAGCGATGTGACCACAAAAGCCAAATGTGGAGTCCGTGCCGTTCTTTATTTATCTTTCTTCGCATGGCAAAATTCATCGTTTGCCGGTGCAAAACTATCCCCAGAAGGTTCAGATAATTTCTGGGACGATTCATCGTCAGACAAAGTCGACATTTCCCGACTGACAACGAAACAGTTCTCAAAAATGTACTATGTGTGATTCTCTTTGCAGCGAACAAAGAGAGTTGCGACAAAGCAAAGCATAAGTCTGTTGAGCCTTTGACGTCATGATGACGTTTCCTGCTGTACGGCTGGAACATGTTTTCAGCAATGGCGGACGATTTTTATGCGACTTTGAAGCGGTACAAATTGGTCATCGAAGGTTCTTTTTGAGTTTTTAATGGCAAAAAGGGATTTAACTTGACCCAATTCAACATTCTGTAAAAGAATTAGCCCAAAATAAAATGGTCAATTTTCGTCTCATGGGCACTTTAAATGGGAACCTGATATTATTTTAAATATTATGCTCTTTTATTGAATCGCTCGCAGCGCCCGTGGGCAAGATGAAGAGAATCCTGTGTTCTGATTGGCTACCCAGTGGACAAAATGGGCCCATCTTACTCGCTCGGGACTTTCTGCATTGATCCTGCGCAAGAAAAAACTTGAATTAGAACTAAATTTGTTATTCTTGGACAATGTCGGCAATTGAAATGCAAAAAGAGGCAGAGGATAGTCAAAACAAAGAAAATAGGAACGACTCTCGTGGCTCTGTTGTGCTAAAAACACAGTTGGCTTTCTTTCCCGACTAAAAACTTATGACAACAATTACACAATTATGTAAGCAAAAAAAGAAAAGCAAGCAACCACCACAAAAGAAAAAGAAAATCGCAGATGTCAGTGGTTCGAATCCCGTATAGGCCTGATTTTTTTCATTTTCGCTATTGCATAAATAGCGCTCTCTACTGCGAGGATCGTGCATCATACGTTATTGTTATTGGTAATTATTTTATCGCTTCCGTGTGCTCCTTTATCCTAGTAAAGAAGTGGCGACTAGTTTCGCCAATATAACGGGAATTACAACCCGCACAAGAAAACTGGTAAACTACCATGGATTTTAGAGCATTTAAAAACATGTTCTGTGTTAAAGATCGTACTCCTGATGCTCTATAATCCATGGTAGTTTGCCAAATTTCTTGTGCGGGTTGTAATTAGTACCCTCTTTTGGGATCACATTTTGTTCCTGGGCAACTAATCGAGCAGGAATGGTAATCGAGTACGACAAATGCATATCGAGCTCGGTTGCCCAGGAAAAAAATGTGATCCCTCTTTTTTATTACATCATACTGTAAACATTTTATTCATCTACTTGTATGCTATATAATTACTCAAGTTCAGTTACTCATTGATTGAGAATGGCATAAGCATGCCGAAACATGTCTCTCGAAAAAGTTGTCTATTTCTTACAATATAAATAACTCAATTAAATCCTAAAGGCTTTATGGACGTCTTAATTACAAAATAAAACTGTTCATAAGTTGAAAAACAGCGTTCATATAGCTGTCCATTTTCTTATGGGAACCCTAAGATATGTAATACAAGATAAAGTTTCTCTCAAAATGGGTGTCCAAAATTCCTAAAGATGTCTGAACGCTCAACTTGAACATTCTGGCGATGTGTTATGAACTAGACAGGGTTGCCTTTTGCATTTGGTGCATAATTGATTCACACTTATCTCCTACAAGCTCTTTAATATTTCTCTCAACCTTTTTCGAGCAGCTCCCAAGGTCATCCCGCATGATGTTATACTGATTGACATTGTACTCAGGGTATCGGTTCGTCAGCTCTAGTCTCAGTTGAATGTACTTCGTTGTCTTCTCAAAATCTTTAGACTCACTGTTCTCCAGCCATTGACAGCTCATTTCAATCACTCTGACTTGCTTGCTGGTCTTGTCAATGACTGTGATTCGATTAGCTTTCACTTGAGTTGTGTCAGCGAATAATGGGATGTCTCAGAAGGTGGTCGCATGCTCATTTTCATACAAGGGCTTGGGTGTGACTTGTGGGAACCACGGTTCAACTTAAGTAATCATTTCTCCAAAGATCTAAGCACTTCAAAGAATAAGATCTTGAGAGCATTGTTGTAACTTTGAAGGTACTTAGTCTGTGCCAATGCACTACATCCAGATAGATTATTATTGTTATTATTGTTATTATTATAAGTAGTATTATCATTATTATTATTATTATTATTATTATTACTATTATTATTATTTTCTTTAATATTATGAGGAGTAAGTTTAACAATTTGTACCTGTTGGCTGAATATTAAAACACTTTCCCTGCTTTGCCATTTCTTTTAACAATCCGCTGATTTCATTTCAGACATCAACGAGTGTGTTCAAAACCACAATTGTAGCGAGAATGCCAACTGTAGAAATACTGAGGGATCTTACAACTGCTCTTGTAATCCTGGATTCAGCGGGAATGGATATCAATGTGAAGGTAAAATCCTGCAGACCACGATCTTATCAAAACAGATATAATCCATCCGTATTCCTTTCTCCTCAAGAACACCCCTGAACAGTCTAATGCTTGTCGGTTGCAAACTCATGTACTGAGTTCCTGACATGGCATGGTTTAAAAAAAATACATCCTATGGCTTTTTGTCTTAGTAGTCAGAACAAGTTCGTTGAACCGACCACCATTAGGAGTAAGGTTAGAAACTCCTTTTTTTCTTAAGAGCACCCTGTGGTCTCAGATTTCTTTATCAGCTCGAAATGTCAGCTTTTAAAGTCCTCACGGTGGCCAATTTACATAATCAATTCGGTTGATAAGACAAAATTACCTTGTTACTCATTGCCAGAATTTTTTGTCAAAATTCCGGACGCGCGTGCGTATTGAGGAGTTAATGGCGGCGAAATCGTGTAAGGAAATGTATGGGATTTCCAGAAAAATCCAAAAAACAACAAATACGAGTCAGAGTATTCCCTAGCTCCGACTCGAAACAAGTTGAGTAGAGATTAAGCTGTACTTCTAGCATAAAAATAATTCTAAAGCTCTTTGTCTCCATACTTGCAGCAATGTCAGCAATGTTGGATTTTCGAGGCTAGTCATTTCCTCTAGTCTGTTTCAAATATAGCGTAATCCATGGCAAAGGATCGTCGATTTGAATTGCTATTTTTGCTCTGTGGAGTCTGTGATCTGAGACCATCTTTGAGAACGCACCTACGTATTTATCTAGTCTGTCATTATTAATGTCCTTAGGTGAAGCGTTGAAAGAGGACACAGCCATGGAGAAACGTATGTGCGATACTTTTACAGATAAGGCGACTCCGTCGCAATTACTTGAGTAAATTGCACAAATTCAAAAGTGGTGTTCGAAAGAAAAAACAAAACTAATTTATCAGAAAACATCAATGGTTCGTATAAATTAACCGGTCCCGTATTCGAAAATAAA